CCTACTTCATAAATAAAGCTGTTTTCAGCTTTATGGAGAGGCAAGTGGAGTGCAATAAAAGATACCACTCCTGTGTTTCTGAGGGTGTGTTGTTGACTGCTTGTGAATATAGTGTGAATGACAAAGAAGGAGTGTGTGTCTGATATAAAGGAATCTTTCCATATAACCATTCCAGCTCATATACTCTACATTTATAAGTTTTCATGCAGGCTTGCCGACATTTGGGTGTGACCACATATTTTCACATTTGAGTATTCTCCGCTGTATTCAAATGCTATTCGGATGATGTGATGGCCCTTCAGGGAAGCAAAAACAGATTAGGGATAAAAGTCTGTCTGAGTTGTTTTGCCAGGCCATTTTGTCTGCAGCTCTCTGCTATTGATGGTGTCTCAGTGTCAGTTTAAAGGCGTCTGAGAAGCAGACATAACAGGATATACAGAGACAGGCACAGTTGGTACCTAAATAAAACACACTTCCTCAAGCGCACAGCTTTCTGTTGATGACAGCGACCACGGAAACAGCCATTAGTGCTCATCAAATGCTTCAAAGCTTAAGGCTGCAATGTGGGATTTCTTAAAAGTATATCACATGTCGACAGCGGTGTCAAACAAGAATCAATTATGCTTAACCGAACTGAACATCTGCTTCTGAAGACCATATGATATGGTCTCAGGTTCCAGAAAAGCTAAATGGACCCTGTGGTGAGATTTTTTTTTCAACTAAATATTTAACAAAACTGAAAAAAAACTAATTAGAAATATACACTTTTACAGTTTTGATTCACCTTGTGTGATGTATGCCTAAATTTGGTGCTCACATTTATTAATAATGCACCCTTTATGAAGAGTTATATATGTATATATATATATATTATGTCTTTGATAATGGTTAAAACATCATTTAAAAATTGTATAGATTAGGACAAATAGGACAAAAATATGTGTATTTAAACTGTTTTCATCTTAAAATGTGATGATGGTCTGCTTCCAGGCTGTCGTGGGTCATTTGAGGAACTATTGGTAATGTATACCAATAAAGCATACCTGTAACTCAACTGAAGTTATAAGGCCCTTCAAGACACATTTAGCAAGTACATGGCCCAGTGACTATTATTCTGTTTCTACAGAAGCTCTGAGGGGCGAGTGAAAAGAACAGGTCAAAAAAAAGGTTTTGCCAGAATAATTATTTAATTCTTTCTTTCTTTCTTTCTTTCTTTCTTTCTTTCTTTCTTTCTAGATTAAGGTTCCTTCATTTTATTTTCATCTCTGAAACAGAAAAAATGTTTTGCCAGGTGAATTTTTTTTTCTCTCTTAAGAGGCTGAAGTGCACCACTACCACATGTTCTAAATAGTAATAATAAATAATTATACCATTCACTCAAAAATATGTCACATTGCAGAAGCTAAAAATGCTGTAACTACCATTTTATTGTTCCTTTACTTTGGCTCCATCAATTGGGCCCCTCCAGCAGGTTAATCCAGCCATCTTTAAACAGCGCACTTAAGTGTATATGTTCCTAAAAACACTGAGGCTGTGTTTACTATTAGCAGCCCAGAGCTACCTTGATATCCAGCCAATGCTAAAGAGGCTAACATTAGCACACATTAATCCAGTCCTCCTCTGTCCTCGGTGTTAATTACACATGGCTAGCTGAGCGTTGACGGTTCCTCACTTCAGACCTGGCGCCGTTATCCTACTGGCTAACACCCAGGCTGGTTGTAATTGGCACTAATACAGCAATATAGTCCGGGGTCATGGGCTTGATTCTCTTCCAGGTTAATCTTGCCATCTTTGACAGAGTGCAGTTGGTCAGAGGTGAGCCAGTGTGTGTGTTTCTGGTCTGTAAATCAAAGACTAGAAGGGAGAGATATTTCACCTGATTTTATTATCAACTGATATCCATAAAGAATGTGCTAAGAGAAAACACCAACTTCTAAGTGAGCGCTGTACTGTGTTGAACTTGGCTGTGGACACAGAGTAAGATGTCTTTTCATCTCTTTGATGTTCAGGTTTGAACTGCAGATAGAGCAATATGAGCCCAGCTCAGCCTGCTATGGTTTATTTTATTTCTATCCCTGACTTTCAGATTCCTCTCAGTCCACATCTGGATGTTTTATTAGCAACCCTGCAACCCAACCCAACCCTCGCAATGCCGGGATAATCAGCACTTTTAATAACCCAAATAAGTTGGAAATTCAATTAATGCAGACATGCTTCGAATTTATGGATAGTTGGAATAGCCAGGCGTTTTCTGTGTGAACTGGGTGGAGTGAGCAGCACTTTTACATAACTCGTCTGCCTGCTGCGTCTACATAGTATTAATACACCTCCTGAATGCCTGACATTAAATTAGCCAGCCCCACACTTCCTAATTAAGCTTTTCAGAAAGCAGGCCAAATAACTTCATCAGTGAAAAAAACATGCTCTCTGCCTTTAATCATGACCTCCAGTTACTGCGTAATGATGACTTTCAACTATTAACATCTGATGAATTAGTATGAGTAATTTGTATGTGTGAGCCAAGGCACGTAATCATGGTAATTTGCTCAGTTCAAACATGAAAGCTCCTTGTGAAAAAATAAACCTGGCTCAATTAGTAAGGCATGAGCGTCTCATTCTTTAATAGTTGCCCAATATTAAACACAAGTCATTTTCTACTAATCAATAAGAAGTAGCCAATTAATCGGCCACAGTGTGTTTTTTTACACTACTACTACTACATTTTATGTACATACTAAATTATTGGCTTAAAGTAATACCAGCACCACAATTTAAAAATACTGTACTGTCAACCAATCATATTCCATTCAGCCCCCAGGACACTTTGAAGTGAAACTCCATAAAATGGAAGTCACGTACCTTAAAGTTGTACTCCAGTCCAGTACATGACATGTTTGTCAGGGGCCCTCTGCTTCAAAACATGACGCTGTAGGTATACCTCTGGCATAATTTCTCAACGCACTGGCCATCAAAGTCAGGTGACGGTGTAAAAAGAGCAAGACAGTCTGCATATGGAGGTGGTGGGCTGGATGGATGGCTCAAACAAACACAGGACCTTTCCCTAACCCTAACCAAGTATTGTTTGTTTCTAAAGTAGTTTTTGTAAACCTTTATTTTAAAAGTCTATCTGAACGTTGCATATTTATTCTTGCTAACTTGACTGCAACTGTGTTGAAGCAGAGGGCCACCGACCAATTGTCATTAATTGACGAGTTGGGAGTGAGAACGTGTTGCTACTGAGGGTGGCCAACAATATATAATAAGCTCTCCTCATATGTAAGCCTACAAGCTGTTTTCTAATACTGTAACTGCAAACATTAGCTAGCCAACCAAATTACCTCACTTTACTAATTTCTTCAAGAATTGAAAGCAGCTGATCAACTAAGGAGCTAGAACATTTGAAGAATCATTCCAGTTTATTAAAACTCAGGCCTGTTTACCTCATCTGGCAGGAAAGATGGCCCAAACTATGAAGATAAAATGTAATAAATGGGATTATCCTTAAAGATCATGCTCAAATAAGCCGATCATTAATTGCAGTTTACTTATGTCATCATCACTAATGCATCATGGGTTTGCACACACTCTGCTCCTCATCCCTTGTTCATAGAGTTAAAGACAGAGTAAGAGGAGGAGGGTCGTAGAATGTACAGACAGGGAGTCTGCTGGCCAGCGTAATATTAAAGGCGATAAACTCCAGGAAGCTGCCGACATTGTAGCGACCCCGCTGGTAGTCTAGCAACCAGTGTGTGTTGACAACAACAGCCGCCTGTCACATGGCTCGTGCTGAGAGTGTGGGCTGGGAGGGGTGCAAACACACACTCCTATAAAGTACAGTCACATACAAAATGAGAAAAAAAATCCTACACCCACACCCACCCACAAGCACACACACATGAAGAACACACTCACATGTCAAGTATCTGACACTTGCAGCCACACACCCACAAATACACGCACGCACACACACACACACACACACACACACACACACACACCAACCCCCTCTCTCATATACACACATTCATCCACACAAAATATACACACACAATGTAACACACACCTATCTCTATAAGTGACTACACCTAACTGCTGAACTATATATAACATTATAATCACACATGACTTTCTAATAATGTAGATTCAATATTGATCATAAAGGTGTATTAACCCAGTAAATACTAATGACTACATATAATTTGTTATGGAAAAGCCCCACACATATTGGTAGACAAAGTTGATTTTATCATTTTGAATGGGTCTTTACCATAACACTACGGCACTGTGTTTTGTTACTTTTAACTTTCTTTTTTTGGATTTTAAAATGATCCATAAACATTTCACCTCTCAAAAATATATAATTATCTCTTTTAACATAACTCCATATTATTGCTTCTTTTATTGACCATTACAGGATCATATTAATACATTTTCAACACAGCGTCTCTTCTACTCACAATGTTATTTGGTTGGAATCTTTTTTCATAAAAGCTCCATATTCTTAGTTTTACAGTAGCTCCTAAAATATTCTCCATAAAAAACACATTAGTGTCTTAAGGTTCATAATAGATTCTGTCTTTGAAAAGCTGCTAATTAGTCTGTCTACCATATTAGTGCCTTCTCTTTTTCAGTAAAAAGGTCCACATTAATGTTGTTAATGTTTTTTCCAAAAAGGAAGGTCCATTTACCTGTGAATGACCACGTAAAAGTATTTTTTCTAATCTACAAAAAGGTACATATTAGTACCAGTTGAACATTTACAAAAAGTCCACGTTACTTTTGTCTGTTCTACACATCCTTAAAAAGTACTGGTTTCCTAGGCCGGATAGCTCACCTGATAGTGCTGGCACCCCATGTACCAAGGCTGAGTCCATGGTACATGGCAGCAGCCCAGGGTTTGCGTCCGACCTGTGGCCCTTTGCTGCGTGTCTATACGGTCTTTTCTGAGGTTGTGGGTTGTTGGGTGACAGTGTAGAGGTGATAGCTGGCTGTTAACATACCTTTACAGGCAAAGCATTTGATGTGGAAGTGTTTGTTCTGGACCCGGAGCGCCTCCCCTTTGCAGGGCTTCCCACAGTTCTGACAGGGGATAGGTCCTCCTCCTCCTTGCTTTTGCTTCTGCTTCTGCTGCTCCAGAGGGCTGTGGACAGCCTGCTGCTGAAACACTGCAAGAGACAGAGACCATTTAGATCTTATTCTATATACAGGACAACTTTTAGAAGGTACACAAAGGTGAGAACAGCCAAACGGACATTTGGATTTGTTAGCTGTTGTGATAAATCTGACCAGATAGTATGGTCAACTTTTGATCTTTTGAGTTGAAGTCTTTGGTCCACTTCTTCAATATACCCATAACAAAATGCAAATATCTAGTGGAACAGGAGAGGCCATGATCAAAATCAGCAAATAGTCAACTGGTACCTAAAGGCTATTCCACTGAAAATAAGTAAATTGTGAGGAAAAAAACAGCAACAGGATATTTGGAAGCTGAATGTCTTTGGCATTAAATTAATACTGTTTTTTCATAGCTTTAATCCAAAAATATCTCCATCTATTCTGGCCTTTAGTGACCTCTTTATTCATACATAGTATGTTTGTCCCCATTTTATCAGTCTTCAAACTTCAAGTACCATCCTTTTATTTAAATAAAAACACAAATCTTACTTTTTCTGCAGTGTCATCTTTTCTTTCTTAATCCAAAAATATCCAAGTCATCACATAGGATGTCATATCAGACAAGGATATCAAAAAAGAAAAGAAATGTTTTTTCAGCTCACGCACACACAAAATGCTTTCCCATCACATAAGGGGATATTGCAGTCATTCATTCAGTGTCATTTGTTCTGTGGAGGCGTAAACATAACTGTAACCACTACATGCCCAACCCTAGCCCAAATCCATCCCTAAAGTTAACCTAACGCTAACATTATCCTCAAACCCAGACTTAACTGTAAAACTGAAGGATTTATATTGTGGGGACCAGCTTTTTGTCCCCAAGAGGTCCTCACAGTGTGACTGTGTAGACAGTTTTATGTCCCCACAATGTGAGGATAGATGTCTCACACACACAGAACAGAAACCCTACAAAGTCCACATAAACACTGATGTTGGATGAATGTCATAATGTTGACCAGTTCCCAATCATTTTCAAAGCAGTTACTCTCCTTTGTTCCACACAGGAAGGAAAGTTCATGCCAAGAAAAACAATGTCAACACCAGCAATGAAAAACGTAACAGAGCACAAGCAACATCCCTGCGACAACACACAAAGTCAAAGGCACGCTTTAAGAGCCGAACACGTCCATCCTAACAGTATCATCTCCCCTCTCATCATAACCCTGGCAGAATATGCTCACATACTGATCAGCCTTTCAATACTGACTGGGGCATCAGCCGAATAAAAGGCCCTTTGTGTTCCCAGGAAACATTTGTGTCGTCAGACCGGTTTCATTGGGCCTCCATGGTTACCGGTAATTGGGCTTGGAAAGAGGAGTTTATCAAATGAATTGATTTACAAAAAAGAGGCAGAGAGAAAGGGAAATGTAGGGATAAAAGCTGTGAGCCAAACAGAGCGGCTTTCTGGAGACTCACCAAGAACTTTTTTCTTGTGGACATTATTTTTGTTTCAGGTTTGCTCAGTTCACTGGGTGTTTATTGGGTGTTTTGTTGGCACAATATTTTGACCTAGATTAAGTTGAAGCCACAGTGTTTTTCTCTACTCTATTATGTAGGAAAAAAGCACATTTAGCCAACCTGACACTTTTCTCCCTATAAAGTTAAAGGGACACTTGATTTAGACTGGAAGTTGCTGACAGACTGGATAAATTGTTTAACCTGGGTGGTCCTTACATATTTAATCAAAGTAAATCCTTTTTGGTCAGTCTGGCCACACCAACCCTTTGAGTTGAATCTGAAACATACTCGGGTAGGGAAAAAAGAACAACTTAAAGTATTAGTTCAAGACTCAAAATAAATGAGTGAGAAGAGAAAACTGATATCAATCTTGCATCTGTGCATTACAGCGCAGGGAAACAGCTAGTCTGGCTCTTTCCAAAGATATAAATGTGCCAAACATTTACACTATACATGTAGTTTGTATAGCCGTTACTCAAACAGAAATGCAAAAACAACAAGTTGTGGTTTTAGGGGAATTACCTGCTGGAACTATTTCTTGGTGAACAAGTTTATCCATCTGCCCAGTACTTCTGTGCAGCGCCTCCAGGTAATAGCGTGACAAGGCTGCAGGAAGGTGCACACAAAAGCTTTTCTCCAACAAATAGTTCCTGAATGTAATTCCCCCCCTGGCCTTTTTACATTTCTGTTAAAATATAAGTTAAACAAGCAAGAAGCAACATTTTAATTGGTCAGCATTTGAGGTGGTGGCAGGGATATTTTTAAATTTAAGACAAAGTCCCGCTAGCTGTTTCTCCCTGCTACCAGTTTTATGCTATACTAGGCTAGCCATTTGTCTGTAACAATTTAGCCTCTGGCGGCAATGGCCAATGTTTCAGGGTTCTGGTGTAGCCAGCTGATATCTAGATAATGGAAGATCAGGCCAAGACTTTGTTCAATTAGCAAGTTGAGACACAAGAATGATAATCTCTATAAACAGATATCTGTATGAATGCTAAATGGTTGTCAGACGATAGCCAACGGGTGCTGAGATTTCGGCGGATGCGTCCCGCCTCTTTTGCGCTCCATACGGCCGCTTACCTGGAGGCAACTAAAGCACGCTCAAGTCAAAATATGACTGGCCAATACTACTTGGCCAACAAACAGACTACAGATGGAAACCAGAAGGCCTCCCAAACCAAAGTGTTGTCTTTGCCTCGAGATTCTGCACGGTCTTTCTCTACCTCTCTGATAAGCCTCCCACTGACTCACACTGACTAGGAGACACTTCACCTAAAGCCATGTCACATAATTTATACCTTGATGCTGAAGAGGGCAGTGGAAAGAGATAAGGAAGCTGAGCAGATTACATGATGCAGTTTGTTTGAAGGCAAAACCATATGTTTTGGGTCTGATGTATTTTTCTATCCCCATACATACAAAGAAGCATTTGTCCATTTGTGATACTGGGGTACTTGACAGGGGAGTAAAAACAGCCACCAGTCTTTCCAGACCTACAGGAGCAACACATTCTTTAGCAAGTTTTACAAGGACCTCTCACCCACCGTGGGGAACAAAGCCATTTTTCAGCTTTGTAGTGTGGGTGTCTGTGTCCAAGACAAACATAGCCTCCCATACCTCCTTAGATTTCTTTAGGATGATAACTTTGCATCATTTTATTTGGATAGGCCAGAGTTTTCAAAAGTCTAATTCCCAAAACAGAATTTATTGAAATAGAAAGTGTAAAAATGTACCTTTGTGATACTGAACGTTCTTGAGGTCAGCAAATATTCAAACTATAGAGAAAGTAAATTTTTGTTTTTTTAAAGTTTTCTTTGGATGATGCTAAAATCCCCAGAGCTGCTTTTATTCAGTCCATATGTTTACATTACAATCTGATCTCTGACTTGAAAATGTGCTGACTTTCAAATTGAATCAAGACAAGAATCGGGATTTTGGACAGTGTTTCCTAGATTCTCTTGTGGCAGGAGGTGCGGCTTTATTAAAGCTACCCGTGTTGAGCGTACATGTGGGCATGCTAACCAATAAAGACAAGAATTTAGGAGGGGAAAAGTCTTGAGTCCTCGTAAAAAAGGACTGAGATCGAGTTGATTGCAACCATCTGGAAAAGACAACAGTCTAAATGCGAGAAAGGGCTGGGAGCAGGGAAGGCAGCAGGGATTGGTAGTCACAGGGGAGCCGGGAGGGGTTCTGCCTCCTGATCTGACCCAGTGTGCATTGCTGCACCCTTGCACCTGTTGGGGGGGATCCAGTGTCTTTACTTCCTCTTCAAACAGCAAATAGAGTGGGAGGGCGGGGATGAAGAGGAGACAGGAGATGATCTTTTCAGCCAGATGTAGAATCCAGCAAGTTGTTCCAGACATTCAGGCTGCCAGTAACCAAGACAGTTGTAGTGATCTGTGTTACAGGTCCAATAATCTGTCAGTGGGAGAGTGGTAAGCAGTTTGCTGTTTATATATACATAGAGTTAGCTGACAAAATGAATAACGAGTGGTCTGTTCAATCCATGTTAAACTGCTACTTTTTTATGTTCTTCTTAAGGTTCTTGGAAGGGCCGGGATTTGCGCCTTCATGTTTAAGGCATTTCAGGATTCCAAATAATTAGGATAACAATCTATCTTTTTGCTGTAAGTATATATTGCCCAACAGTTTGAGGGCAGACCACACAGGAGAGGATGGTACACTTTTCCCTGTTTTTCCCACAAGTCCATCATACCCTTATGTTTGCACTGTGTTTCTTCTAGTTGGACTATGCCCAAATTTCTCAGCTTAAGGCTGCATAGTCACGTATTTCCACGCAACAGTGGTACAAGTCTATCTCCCAAAATACACATGGATGACCTACATCATGAGTGGATACGAAAACGCACTCCTATATAACGAAGGCATATTTTACACTGACTAATTTCTGTCCATGCAAGCAACTTGTAGCAAGGAGGTCAAAGGTTCAGACCTCAATGCCCTAACAATTCTGTGCTCATAAAGAATGTTTGGGGAAAAGATGGAATAAGGGCAGATGAGAGAAAAAGAGGAGAGGGGCAGCATGTAGAGTCCTTGTGCCAGTGCCCTGTCTTCTCCAGGCCCAGTTGTCCCTATCATCAATCAGCCTTTCTGGTGTCTGTTTTTTGGCTGACGGCCACTACTGAAGCCATTGTCCCAAAGGTCGCAGCCAGGCAGGCAGCTATCTGAGCAGTGCAACACCACATATCTGTGCAGCATACAGTCACACCACTGGAAGCCTCTGGGAACACATACAGACCATTGAAGTGGTTCTGCAGCTTACCACCTGCACACATGTACCATACAACTGCCCAAACATAGCCATGTAGCTGTGCAGATATATGACATCTCTTTCTAATGAAAGATGATAAATGAGAAGGTTCACATTCAGTGTCGTGCTCAAAGACACTTAAACAGTATATACGTGGCTGCTGGGAATGAAATTGAGAACCTCCCAATGCACTCCCAAAGTTCACATGACACTGAAAACAGCAGAGAACCAAAATTCCACAGTATCCCTCGCAACAATGTA